CCTTGAAGTTCATTTTCAAGGAAATGTCTGCAAAATACCCAAGTCTGAGTAAGCCCAGTTTGATGGCAGTTGTTCCTTCAAGTAAAAATTTCATTTTATAAAAAACAGCCAGTTCAGATCAAAATTCAGTCTCACAAATGCTTTTTCTGGGGACAACCATTGTACTTTGAAATGCAGCAAAATAACTTTATGTGTATTTCCCATTTGAAGACAAAACATTTCTAAAGGGTGAATTTTTTAAATTACTTTTACTCTCTTGTCAAAGACTTTCTTAATTGGAACTGACATTATTTAACTGCAAATAAGTGACAGTGAAAATTGCAATGACTGAAAATTCAAACAGGAAGATTGAACAGGGAAAGTGATTTCCACAGTGAGGGTCTCTATGGTTCTTAGATTCAGTATTTTTTGAGGCTGCCTTGCCTATTTATGGTTATGAGCTCTTTTGTAGATATCAGACTTCTGTATTCAAAAATGACAGAAACAACTAGTTCCTAATATCTGTGAGGACAGGGCATGCAAGTGGATAATAAGATGAGCTTTTTTCTCTTTGTAATTTGTCTTATTTCTCAAATCCTCAGTAGTCATTGTAGTCCTCCTTCTACCTAATCCTTCTCCAGAGTAAGACACCCGGGCAGGATACTTTATTGAGACAGTAATTGTATGGTTTTCAGGTATTTCCCATCTCAAGATTTTGTATGTTACCTTGCCTCAAGGTCCAGTGTGGCTGGGCCAACAGCGGGAATTGCCTTCATTTTACAAATCTAGGCACGCTGACATTGTTATGCTAGATCAGTGTTTTTCAAAGTGTGGTCGGCAGGTTTTCAGGGATCCTTGAGATCCTATCAGGGCGGCTGTGATATCAAGACTGATAAGATAACAATAAGACAGTTTGTCTTTTACTTTGCTCATTTTTTCTATTTTCTATTTTTTTTTTTTTTTTTTTTTTTTTTACGAAGTCGTTTTTTTTACCCAGGCTGGAGTGCAAGGGCGCGATCTCGGCTCACCGCAACCTCCGTCTCCTGGGTTCAGGCAATTCTCCTGCCTCAGCCTCCTGAGTAGCTGGGATTACAGGCACGCACCACCATGCCCAGCTAATTTTTTGTATTTTTGGTAGAGACGGGGTTTCACCATGTTGACCAGGATGGTCTCGATCTCTTGACCTCGTGATCCACCCGCCTCGGCCTCCCAAAGTGCTGGGATTACAGGCTTGAGCCACCGCGCCCGGCCTACTTTGCTCATATAGCACAGATGGCTCCCTATAAATGGGGGAAAGGAGTCAAATATCCAGCACTTTAGCAAGAACCAAGGCACTAACATGAAACTGTACTAGTAAACAATGCAGGGTGTCACTTCATCTACATCTGATTTACAAGTCCTACGGAGTGAGCAGTGCAGGAAGCACTCAAGTTACTGGTACAGGCTGGGCTCACACCTGTAATCCCAGCAGTTTGGGAGGCTAACGCGGGTGGATTAGTTGAGGTCAGGAGTTCAAGATCAGCCTGGCAAACATGGCAAAACCCCATTCTACTAAAAATACAAAAATTAGCTGAGTATGGTGGCAGACATCTGTAATCCCAGTTACTCCAGAGGATGAGGCATGAGAATCACTTGAACCCAGAAGGCAGAGGGTGCAGTGAGCCGATATCATGCCACTGTACTCCAGTGAGATTCTGTCTCAAAAAAAAAAAAAAGTTACTTGTATAATCCACTTTGTTATCAAATGCTGTTCAATTTCCACTAACATCTGAAACATGGGATCCTGGTGGACACGTCACCTTACGAAGGCTGTGCATGCATCATTGCGGGGCAGCCAGGCACTGGTGATCGGAATCCTGCTCATGGTGGGAGCTGTTTTCACTAAGAACAGCAGTAAGATGCTGATAGGTAACAGGGATATTGATATCAGGCCACAGAGCATGCTTCAGAGACAGAGAACCCAAGGCCTAGCTCCCTGGGCTAGCGTCATGCCTGGGCCATCTGCACATAACCCAGACCTAAAGTTACCAGTGCACTTACCTCCTTTAAATCATGATGTTAACTTGCACTACTTTTGCCAGGCCAACTCCAGGGTTTTTAACTGCACAAAAATAAATCAGGATCAGAAAATCCTGTTTAGAGGAGCATTCATAAATATCCAATAACAGGATCTACACCGGAGGTCCAATTCCAAGATTCTGTCTTGCCACACTGTTCGTCCGCAATCCATATCCCAAATATCTATGAATACATTTACACTTAAGTGTTTACATGTGGCTAGTGCCTACTTTATTGGACAGCTCAATTCCACGGTCTCCAAAGACAGGCCTTACATCAGTTCCAAATTCCTTACATTTACCTGCCAGATGATTCCTCTGACCTTGGCCTAGGCACTGCTTTCCATCACTGAGCCATGTGTTTCTTTTGGTATCTTAAACGGGCATGTGTTTCATAATATACCCTAGCCTGGGTTCCCCCAAAACTGAGCCTAAGACAATATCTTATGCTGAGCTAGTTTCTTTGAGAATGTAATGATAGAAAAGGGGAATATGAAATAAAGGGGAGGGGGTGTGAAGCTAAGAAAAGGAAAAATCAACATATTACAAAGAATATGTTACTAAGTAGGCAACCAGTAAGGGTACCTGGAACTTGACCTCCAAGTTCTGAGCTGAAAGGGAATTATGTCACAGAAGGGTTTTCCCTAGAAATGAAAGAGGCGAGCATCATCCTCCAGCTCATGTCCTCCATGGGTGAAATGTGGCTGCTACAGGCTAACACTGAACTTCAAGCTTGCATGCCCATAAATGCATTACAGATTCTCACAGACAGCTCATGCTGGGGCATCAGAGACCCTCAGGTCAGGAGAGGTGAAGAGAGGCAGGAACCCAGTCAATGTGTGTGATGGGTCCACATAGCCATCGCAGAAAACCAGAGCAAGATCCAGCAGATTTGGAGAGCGCCGAACAGGCCCCCAGTACCATCCACCTGCAAGCCCCGAGCAAGTGCCAGGACAGTGCAGTTGGATGACTCACTGCCTCCTGCCAACAGAGAAGGAGCCAATGGGAAAGACTAAGGTACCTGGGGAGGTCGGACTCACCTTCAGAAGCCACTCAATGTCCCCTCTCTAAAACTAAGGCCAGATGTATCAGCACACCCCACACTGCTAATGAAAAGACAAAGCTTTTCGGAAAGGCAGAAAGAGGCTTAACGTTCAGGCACTGAGTGTGTTTGACTAAACAGGAATAACAGGGTTGGGTAAAATGAGAACTTCAATAAGCTGATGGCAGAGACAATTTTGTTGGGGTGAATGAGGCACCAGTTACAGAAGGGCAGGAAAGAACCCGCCCAGGGAAGGGACACAGGAAATCAGAAAGGAATTTCCTCTAGAACCAAGGTGCAGAATCGAGGGAGAACATGAGGGAGACCCGGGTTCATAGAGGAGCAGCAGGTAGCTTCCTCTGGAGAGGAAAATCCCAGGTGGAGCAGCAGGGTCTGGCCAGAGCTCCCTGGGTCTGTGGCTCCTCAGAGGTGGATTTGCTGAGGTGAGGAACTTGGACCCAACCCTGAAAAAGAGCTAAGGTGATGCCACAGTCCAGAGCTTAGGTATGTCAGTGGCCCTGGCCCCATCCCAGAGGGAGGTGGCTGGTCAAACAAAGGCTAACAGAGAGGGAAGGAGATGGGTGTGGAAGGGAGGGGAAGCCTCTTCTTCTTCCTGAATTCTCACCTTCTTCTCAGCATACACCAGGAGGCCTGGCACAGGACAGTGAATCATGTCCAAGAAGCTGCCTTGTGGCTTCCTGCCTTCCTCCCTCCCTCTCTATCTTTCCCATTCCTTCCTTCCTTCCTTTCCTTCTTCCTTCATCCTTTTTCGTTCTTTCTTCCATTCCTTCCTTCCTTTCCTCCTCTTTCTTTCTTTTTCTTTCCTTCTTTCTTTGTTTCTCTCTCTCTTTCTTTTCTTTCTTTCTCTCTTTCTTTCTTCCTTCTTTCCTTCCTTCATTTCTTCTTTTTCTATCTCTGTTTCTTTCTCACTTCCTTTCTTTCTTCTGTGAACCTACAGCTCTATTCAGGAAACCAATGACTGTCCACTGACTTAGCACCTACGATAACCAGGCAGTGTGTGAGGCTAAAGTAGAACCTGGAGGAAGCAGCTGATAGTGGAGGCTCTGCCTGGGCATCAGGTTCAGGGGAGTCACACAGCGGTGGAGCAGTGGGAAAGGAGGAGCCGTTCACATGCCTGAAATCTAAGGATGTCTGGATTTCCCAAGGGCCACACCTAGTAAGAGAGTGTCTATTGAGGACAACTCTGAGTTAATGACCTGAGGTTCATCCTGCAGTGATCAGAGGAAATGGCTGGTGTATGAATCCAGGGAATCAGCACTCTCCTGTTACTCTGTCATCCCTGGAGAAGGGTACCACAGGATGCAGGGTCTTCAGGGCTGCGCCACAGTGTCACACAGATCCAGTCAATCCTGCCGGTCCATCCCAATGACATCTGCTACCCCTGATCAACATGGCACCTTAAGGCTCCCTTCAGAGTGAAAGCAACGTAATTCCAAAGCAGGCATTTTGCCTTCCATTGCCCCTCTCAGGTCCGAATCCACTAAGAGATTGAAACTCAGATGATTCACTTATTCTGCACCATCCCATGGCCTCCCAGAAGAACCAGAAATGTCTATTGTTATTTCTTCATCCACCTCGACCATGAAGAAGCCCAATAGGACTAATCTGGCTAAAGATTAGGGCCCAGGCAAAGAGGTATGGCTATTTCTGGTCCTAGCAGTCTGGAACTTCCTCCTGATTTAATTCATTACCATTCAAGAAGCCCATTGCTGACAGCAACCACACCACAAAGAATGGACAGTGGGTCAGGCCCAGGTGATATCACTGTCAGAGCTTAATTGACAAAAAGTGTTAAGCCAGAGATATTTATCACAAAAGCTGGAATGAAGGTGGAGCAGTCTTAAAAAAAAATCCAATTTCCTTAAGGCAGGGCTCATTTTCTGTATAAAATGCCAGCTAACAAGAGACTCTTCACCAGATCCCAGGCGCTGACCAGCTTGACCTCTGCACAGCAGGTGAGTCTCCCCATTGGGAACATCTTAATAGTCTCCCATCAGTACTTCATTTTGATTGAGGCCTCTTTGTCATGCAATGAATATATTTATTTTAAATGCAGTAGTAACTTTTGTTTTTGGCAACCTTATACATATTTTGACTTTCAACTCAGGTTACAGCTGTAGAACTTGGGATCAGAAAGGGGAGTGATTTCTGTAAAGATTTGTTAAGTTAGCAAGACAATATGCCTCCACTTCAAGAGTACTTTTAGTGACATTTTTATTGTCTCTCCAATACGTATTGAAAATCTTTAATATAGACGACACTGCATTGGCAATTTTGATGATCGAAATACAAGTTTTTCTTTATTCCATGAATATATATTCCATCAGAAAACATATGCTTGACTAAAATTTGCAAACATATAGCATGGGGAGGGATTAGTACAGAGGGAAAGCAGGTTCTACGCTGTGGCAAAGGAGGAAGGTGAGAGCATCAGGGAGGACAGCCACGAGAGGTGGGCGCATGTGGAGGCAGCAATGGTGTGCAGAGCCTGTCAAAGAGCAGATGCTGTGGGCAAGGTGTGAACAGAGGCTCAGAGCGGCATTGTGGGAGCCTTGGGGGGAAGTTTACACAAGGGTTTTCCTGGGAGGATGATGACATTCTATGAGGAGGGCATGAGTGAGTAGATTCTAGACTGTTGACTTTAACATCTTTCCAAATTATTGAAAACCTGAGGTCTCACATCAATATTTAGCCGATGACACACAGCCAAGGGTGGTATTAAAAGTGATTTGATCAGGGCAGAGCAAGAAACAGGCATTTCTTTTCACTCGAGTCTTCAGGTGAGCCCTGAGCAGCTGAAGACCAGAAAAGCCACTAAGACTTTCCGCTTAATTCAGGGGCTTAGAAGATTCTTCACAAAGTGTGTAAGTGAAAGCTTCATAGTATATATTTGCATATTTGCATGTGTTTCACATTGTACGTAGGGTTTTTAGATGTACCAGGAAGAAAAGAAGCACAGAGAAAGCCTCCACTTACAGGATGTGGAACAAATCAACTTTACCTGCTTCCCTGGAAGATATGTGGGGATCATCAAAGCATCCAATGATCTCAAATTCAGGGAAAAAGAAAGAAAAGAGAGGCTCTCAGCTCTGAAGGAGAATGAAATGAGAGATATTTGTCATTAAACTGGGCTTCATTTCTGTTTAATCAAAGCGCTGATTCAGCTGTTTTGTCTCTAGGTCCGGCGTACTTTGAAGCATGAGTTCTTACCAGCAGAAGCAGACCTTTACCCCACCCCCTCAGCTTCAACAGCAGCAGGTGAAACAACCCAGCCAGCCTCCACCTCAGGAACCATTTGTTCCCATAACCAAGGAGCCATGCCACCCAAAGGTTCCACAGCAACCTGGAAACACCAAGATTCCAGAACCAGGCTGCACCAAGGTCCCTGAGCAAGGCTGCGTCAAGGTCCCTGAGCAAGGCTACACCAAGGTCCCTGACCAAGGCTGTGTCAACATCCCTGAGCAAGGCTACACCAAGGTCCTTGAGCAAGGCTACACCAAGGTCTCTGAGCAAGGCTACACCAAGGTCCCTGAGCAAGGCTGCGTCAAGGTCCCTGAGCAAGGCTACACCAAGGTCCCTGAGCCACATCCTTCAACGGTCACTCCAGGCCCAGCTCAGCAGAAGACCAAGCAGAAGTAATGTAGTACACAGACAAGCCCTTGAGAAGCTGACCACCAGATGCTGGACACCCTCTTTCCATCTGCTTCTGTGTAGACCCTGTAATCAGTTTACTGTCACCCCGAGTCATAGTCTCCCTCTTATTTGTATCCTAAAAATATGTACTGTGAAGCTTTTGTTCACACTCACTCTGAAGAATCCTGTAAGCCCCTGAATTAAACAGAAAGTCTTAGAGGCTTTTCAGGTCTTTAGCTGCTAAGGGTTCATCTGAAGATTTGAATGAAAAGAAATGCATGTTTCCTGCTCTGTCCTCATTAAATTGCCTTTAATTCCAGTCTTGGTTATGTGTGTCATTGGCTGAATCTTCCCCCGTCTTTGTTTCCCCATTGTGAGTCAGGATCTATAGACAGAGGGGAGTTGGTTAGAAGTCATCAATCTCAACCCAGTACTGTATGTTTCTATGTGTGTGTGGGGGGTACACTTGGGGGTGTGTGTAGGGGGAGTACACTTGGGTATTCTGCGATGGGGCATAGAGAGTGTCACTTTGGGCAGCCATAGGCTCTCCTCTTGCACTGAACTGAACTATGCCTGAGTTCCGTGGTATCTGCTCCAAGCCACCTCTAATCCTTAGTATTCGTCCCACTGATTTCCTGTCTGTTCCTAGAAAACTGAACTTGATATTCTATTTTTCTTTATTCATTTTACCTTCCAGATACCCCAACACGTACAGACATACACATACACACACACTCACTAAAAGGCAGATTCATTTTAGTCACACACTCACATAATCACTTGCACAAGCTCTCAAGGCAATGTTACCTTTTGCTGGGTATCTGCCATGTGCAAGGAGGGCTGAAGCTGGAGGATCAAGAGGGCGAGGAGGATACACAGTGCCCGTTGCATGATTTGCAGTCTTGTCTAGAAGTTAGGACATTCACATCTTTCTCACACAAAAAAATACACACTATACAGTCTCTCTCTCTTTCTCTCCCTCATCCTTTTTTTCCTTTCTCTTCCCCAGAATAATCTCACAAAAACAGATTTATCCAGTAATTCCAAACAAGACATGGGTTTTAAGCAGGCATTAGGATTACACAATCTAGGTGAGGTGAATAACTGGCCACCAAGTTAGGAAAGAGCCGGTAATTAAGCTAGAAAACCTCGGAAGTGAAAGGAGACTTCAAGAGCACCTAGTAGAGCTGCTCCATTTATTGAATAAGGAAATCAATGCCCCACAAATTAATTAAGGTAACCCCAAAATTGTGTTTCTGCATCATCCTGGAGCATAATTCCTCAGACTCCCAGCTCCCCTCTCTCCTGCAGCCTTGTCTTTTTGATTTCAGGGATGACCAACAGGTTTGCAGGTCTGTGTTGAGTGGCTCTGGGACATTGCAGAATTATCTCTAACAGCAAAAAGAACGACAAAACTTCTGAAGGGTTACAGTAATCACTGGGGAACAAACTCCATTTCTTGATAAGTTGCATGGTCCATAAAATCAAAGGAGTGTGAAGCAGGTGACAGGTTACGCCTGCATGATACACAGGTACTGCAAATAGGTTTTGCAAGACCTCAGAGATATTTGGAAATGATAAAACAAAAATTTTCCAAAGAATCATTACGAAGTGATAAGAAGTTGTCAAACTGGCAGGAGAGAATGATGTCACTTGGGTCTGTTAGGTATGCACATGATGAGGTGTCTTCAAATTACTGCTGATTCTATAATAGAAAGTCTAGAGATAATTTCAGGACCAATCACAACTAAGTAGGCTGATTCTGGATGGGGAAGTGGCCTCTGTGATACATGGCTATTATGAATGTAAAGTCATGCACTTGCTTGTTCCCATTGCTTGAAGCTGCTTTTTAAAAATACATATTTACTGTGGAAAATATATCTCCCACATAAAAATGGTGATTTAAAGCATTTTTATGTGTGCTTTTTTGGTATTCATTCCATTTCCAATGTTGTGTGCCTTTGTTAAGATATATATGTATGCATGTGGGTTGATGGAAGATAAAAAATCCTGATTCTAAATACAGCAAAGTATAAACAGTGGTTATTTCTGGCTGTTTTATGTTAGTGATCATTTTAATAGCTCTTTGTTTTCCACATTATGAATTATATAATATATTTTTGGGGGGGATGGAATCTTGCTCTGTCACTCAGGCTGGAGTGCAGTGGCTCAAGCTCAATCTAGGCTCACCACAACCTCCGTCTTCCTGACTTAAACGAGTCTCCGGCCTCAGTCACCAGAGTACCTGGGATTACAGGCATGCACCACCATGCCCAGATAATTTTGTACATTTTTTAGTAGAGATGGGGTTTCACCATGTTAGTCAGGCCAGTCTCGAACCCCTGACCTAGGTGATCCACCCTCCTCAGCCTCCCAAAGTGCTGACATTACAGGCATGAGCCACCACACCCAGCTATACAATTTTATTTTCATAAAATTTAGTATAATATTAAAAAACAGAAGTTAAGATGTTGCTGAGCTAGAGGAAAAATATGTTTTCTACTCAATACAAACCTTCCTGAGGCTCTGCACAGGTCCTGTATGAGCATCCTAAGGGTGTGGGCCTCTTCCTTCTTGAGGTTGATTATGGTGTCTCTCCTCTCCACACATCCCATTCCAATGCCTGATCTTCTGCTGGGGTCCCTGGAATATCCCAACATCCTATTCGCCCTGACAGCGCAGGTCACCTCTTGCCCACTGACTTTGCAAATAGATGTCTTGTCTTAGCTGCTTCATTCACCTCATCTTTTCTCCTCTCTGTGACTTGGCAGGACCCCACCGATCTAGCCATTTAGGGAGCAGCATGCTGCTTCTTCATGAAGGTCTGAAGAACCGAAGAAGTCAAGACTATGCATAGTTTGGCAAATTTCAGGTTCACAGCCTAATTGCTGATCTCAACTTGTGCAGATAAATAAATGTTCATTTGGTTTCTTTTCATGTTCTTCCTTATTTTTTTATACTTTTATGTTTCTTCCTCCTCCTAAGGCTTTGATTTCCATAACTGCTGGAAATTTTTCTGGCTCAGATAAAAACTAGCTATTAAGAGAATTCCTGTACTTTCATATTTCTGGCTGAGAAAAGTCTCATGACAGGTCTAGGTCAACCACTTTTCCAATTCATTCTTTGCCAGCCTCCAACTTAATTTTCTCAATTTTATTCCATCTTATCTGCCTGTTCTTTGTTATGCTCTATATTCAATCTACCACCTCACACCTGCCACCTTATATACTCTGTAAGCACCAATTGGCAAACCTGGGAAATTAGCCAGATGTGCAGCAGCCTATCCCAAACTGCCCTGTACTTCCCACACCATGTATTCATCACACCCAAGATCCCTGGACTCACATCTGACTTTGGACCATGAAGCATGAAGGTAAAAACCTTCTCTGTCTTGCTCAGAATTTCTCTGTAGACTCAGTGTCCAGCCTGCTGCCTGCCAAATGATAGGAGCTCATTTAATGTCAGCTTGGATGTTGAGAGCTTTATATAATACCTTCGCTGAACAATGCAGTGGATTTGAAGAGAACATTTGCACTACACTTTTTGAACCCAGAACCCACCTGCCCTCTGGGAATGCCTTGAGCCTAATCCTTCCCAAATCTCATTCTCCTCCCTATGAATCTAAAGCAGTAGGCTCATAACAGCAAAGCACCTGCTGTTTTCTATCCACACCTGCAGTTCCCTTGGAAAGAGGTGTCCCCAGAAGACTGGAAGCAACCTGAAGGCAGGTTATCCCTCCCAAATCTAACTGGAGTGATCTTAAGTTGGAGCTTGTCCTTTGCCCATGTAAATTTTATGGAAACAATAGGGGTTCAAAACAGAAGACCCTGTACCAGTTTCCTATGGAGAAAAAATTCAAGAAATGTGATAGAATTATAGTTTCTATAATTACTTTTCAATTTAACATTTTTATCACACCCTAGTAAGCAATGTTCCTACCACCAAAACCAAGAAATAAATAATAATCAAACAAAACTTACTACTCATGTCACATGTGTTTGTCAGGGTGTGTTATCCTCTGTGACAAAAGTCTGGGAAATGTCTGTGACTTCATACAATAGAAATGTTTTGTGTGTGCTGTAATCTATTGTGGGTTGGCAGGGACTTGGATTTCTTCAGTTCCATGGCTCATCACCATCAACAGGCACTCTTGCTGCATTCTACTGTGCAGGCAGGGAAAGAAATGGCAGGTGGGGGGAAGCACACTTTCTCTTAACTTTCTGGATATGGAGACAACACACTGCATTTCCAATGGCATTAGCTAGATGTCAGCCACATGCTCCCGTCCAGCTACACATGGTTGTGTGCTCAGAAATAAATGAGAATCGGTTATCTGTAAACTCTCAACTCTCTATCACCGTTGAGCCTTCTGCTTGCTAAAAGTCTACTTATTTTCTTATTTCTACCCACAGACACATTCACCTCTTCCCCAAGAGAGACAACACAAGGACCAATGAAGTCTCTGCATCGACTTCCAAGTTCAGGATCTCTGGGTGATATACAAATCTCCCCATCATATTCTCTTCATGTGGGCTGTTCTTGGACCAGTAAACTAGTAAAAAGATCAATCCTTTTCATTCTTGCCACAATCCAATTTGCAATAGTGGAGCAGAAACAGGATAACCAGAGTAGAAACTTCCAAGAGAAAATAGAAGAAGGTGGGAAACTAGTATCTGATCTACAGTAATTCTGAAATCCCTCTGGGAAGGCATGCTGAAGCCTACCCTTTTATCTGATACGATGAAAATTCTTTGATATGACGTTGGCTTTACTCTCTGGAAGGTGATCCTGTTCCCTGAGCCTTGTTCCTTTCTCATTAGCCTCCCCTGAAGGAGGTTGTGTGCCCTCCTCTGGAACAGTGAAATTTGGGCTATTCTTCCTGCTTCGATGTCACTTTAGGACTTTGAAATGCACTCTTTGGTAGCCTGGGCTCATGGTTTCTTAAACAAAACAATTTCATCAAAAATTTAGCAGGCTTCTAATTTGTTTCCAGTCAAATCGTTTCTCACAGAGAATTTGCAACTGCCACCCCACCTCTTTGGTATCCCCAATTGCTTACTCTACTATTCCTTTTTCATAGTATATTTAATATATAATTTACATAGTCTTCATGTTTCTTTATTGTCTATTTCCATCCTCCCCTAAAGCATGTAAGCTCCATAAGGTCAGAGATATTTCTTTTGTTTTTTAATTTGTTAATTGTTTATTTATCAAGAGAAACTATTTCTTAGCCCACATATTCATGTGTCATGGTTCAGGAACCCGAGTCAGTGACAAACTTCTAGGTAATTCAACCTGAAGAAATTCTTTCTATTCCAA